TTGAGATTTTTTTTTAACAATTGTCTATCTTCTCATCATCACAACAAAAATATTACAAATTCAAAAACTTTTTGATTTTTCAGTGTCAAATATCTTTAATAATAAAACTTGTGATGATGCCACAATACAATGGCATTTAGTACAATCATATACAAACTTGAACTTAAATTAAGTTAACATTTTATCTTTCCCTATTCCTTTGACTTTGATTTTTGCTAACAGCCAACCAGATGTCTTCTGCAAAAATAAGCCAAACACTTTTAATAGCCACAACACGACAACATTATCATACAATCATAATGGGCATCATAAAAATATACTCATAGAAACAAACAGCAAGGAAAAACTCAAATCAAACCGAAATTTCAGTAAAAAAACAGATGATACCACAGCAGCAGCATCATCTTCATCGCACTTACAATCGGTAGCGGTTTTATATTTTCACAAGAAATTGTTAAAATTAGTACAAAACTTCATATGAAATTGACCGTGTAACATGACATTGATAAACTTCAAGAAAGAGGAGACTCAACTACTTTACTTTTTTTTTTGTCTACTTCGAGACTACGTTTTTTAAATCACAGAAAATTGAAAAAAAAGAACTAAAATGCAAATACTAGTACAATTCAAGTGCGATGGGAAAATTTGGCGCACAGCAAAAATATGTAGACGAAGTTGTTTTGTGGCAACAGCAGCCAAAATGGAAATAATGCAACAAAACTAAAATGAAAACAAAAACAAGTGTTTAAACAGCATGTAAGTGATGTTTAAAAGAAAATAGTTTTTTGTTGCCTATTTTTAATATGTATTTTTCGACTAATGGTACCCTACACCACTAGGAACTACTAAAAAGATAACAAACGACGAATTCAAAGGTTTCGTAATGTCACAGTTTGAGGACAAGTTCAATAGGTAATCAAAATCATATAAACCGTTTCATATAAAAGATCAGTAAAATCTAATCAACATTCCAAATGAAAAGATCCTCATAATCTGATCAACTTTTGTACGGAAAAGATCATCCGAACCTGATCATGTTTTCTATCGAAAAGATCATCCTAACCTGATCAACTTTTCTATAGAAAAGATCTTCAGAATCTGATCAATTTTCTTAGAAAAGATCATCATAGAATGATCACCTTTTCTATAGAAAAGATCATCATAGTATGATGAACTTTTCTATAGAAAGATCATCATAGTATGATGCACTTTTCTATAGAAAAGATCATCATAGTATGATTAACTTTTCTATAGAAAAGATCATTAGGCTATGACCAACTTTTCTATAGAAAAGATCATCATAGTATGACCAACTTTTCTATAGAAAAGATCATCATAGTATGACCAACTTTTCTATAGAAAAGATCATCATAGTATGATCAACTTTTCTATAGAAAAGATCATCATAGTATCAATGTTTCTATAGAAAAGATCATCATAGTCTGATCAACGTTTCTATAGAAAAGATCATCATAGTCTGATCAACTATTCTACAGAAAAGATCATCATAGTCTGATCAACTATTCTATAGAAAATATGATCATAGTGTGATCAACTTTTCTATAGAAAATCCCATAATAGTATGATCAAATTTTTTATAAAAAGATCACCATAGTCTGATCAAATTTTCTATAAAAAGATCACCATAGACTGATAAACTTTTCTATAGAAAAGATCATCATTGTCTGATCAACGTTTCTATAGAAAAGATCATCATTGTCTGATCAACGTTTCTATAGAAAAGATCATCATAGTCTGATCAACTATTCTACAGATAAGATCACCATAGTCTGATCAACTATTCTATAGAAAATATTATCATAGTGTGATCATCTTTTCTATAGAAAAGATCATCATAGTATGATCAACTTTTCTATAGAAAAGATCATAATAGTATGATAAAATTTTCTATAAAAAGATCACCATAGTCTGATCAAATTTTCTATAAAAAGATCACCATAGTCTGATGAACTTTTCTATAGAAAAGATTGTCATAGTCTTATCAACTTTTCTATATAAAAGATCATCATTGTCTGATCAACTTTTCTATAGAAAAGATTATCATAGTCTGATCAACTTTTCTATAGAAAAGATTATCATAGTATGATCAACTTTTCTATAGAAAAGATCATCATAGTATGGTCAACTTTTCTATAGAAAAGATCATCATAGTATGATCAACTTTTCAATAGAAAAGATCATCATAGTATGATCAGCTTTTCTATAGAAAAGATCATCATAGTCTGATCAACTTTTCTATAGAAAAGATCATCATAGTATGATTAACTTTTCTATAGAAAAGATTATCATAGTATGATCAACTTTTCTATAGAAAAGATCATCATAGTATGATCAACTTTTATATAGAAAAGATCATCATAGTATGATCAACTTTTCTATAGAAAAGATCATCATAGTCTGATCAACTTTTCTATAGAAAAAATCATCATAGCCTGATCAACTATTCTATAGAAAATATCATCATAGTCTGATCAGCTTTTCAATAGAAAACATCATCATAGTCTGATCTATTTTCTAGAGAAAATAGCGTCATAGCCTGATCCACTTTTCTATAGAAGAAATCATTAAAATCTAATGAAAGAATTTCACTTTAGGCTGAACCAAGTGCGACCATTTCTTCCAATATACACTCACTTACTTTTTTCCAATCGTCTGTGGCAAGTGTGGGAAAATGTTACTCGTGCCAACTACTGAAAACGCATTTCTAGTGTTTTTTCTTCCACTTTTTTTTTGTGCAGTTAACATTTCATATATTTAAAATAAAAGGAGAATTTCTTTTGTATGCGATTTTTTCTTTCTTTTGTCATTTTTTCTGGTGTGTTAAAAGTAACAAAACTTATGAATTCCATTAAATAAAATCGTGTCTTTGCCATATTTTTTGGTGTTTTGTTGGTTTTAAACGTTTGTTTAAAATGTATTTTCTTGCAACTATACTATGTTTACACCACGTTTGATGTTTGTAATTTCTTTACTAAAGCGGTTGTATTTAACTTGACAAAAATCACACATTAGCAGAAACAGCAACACTTGGCAAGAAAAGAAAAAACACAATAACTGCAACAGAGAGTAGAGAAGGGGTAAAACGCAATATTATGACATAAGTTGCACGTTTTGGCACCACAGGATAGCGATTGTAAAACATTTGAAAGATGTGTTTTTATACCCTACACCACTTTAGTGGGGAGGGTATATTGGATTTGTGCTGATGTTTGTAACATACAAAAATATTCGTCCTAGACCCACCTTAAAGTATACCAATCGGCTCAGAATCGTTTTCTGAGTCGATTAAGCTATGTCCGTCCGTCCGTCCGTCCGTCCGTCTGGCTGGCTGGCTGGCTGTCCATGTAAACCTTGTGCGCAAGGTACAGGTCGCAATTTTCAAGATAATTGGATGAAATTTGGCACGCACGTTTTATTTGACCCAAGGACGAAGCCTATTGAAAATGGTTAAAATCGGTCCATTATTTCACCTAGCCCCCATAGAACAGAACCCCCCGAAAAGGGCTTCTGAGCTCATAATTATGTTAAATATACAGATATATCGATAAAATACGGCAAAACTAAGTTTTATAGAAGTCTTGATGACCCTGCCAAATTTCATAAAGATCGGGCCCCATTTGACCCTAGCTCCCATACAAAGTCCCCTTCAGAAAATTACTTGAATGTCAAAAATTAACTTATAAACACAAATATCGCGATGAAATTCAGCACAAAAAAATATTATGTAAATATAAATATATTCAAAAAATTTTATCGGGCTTGGTCCATATTTGCACCTAACCCCCATATAAAGCCTCTTTCTGAAAATTATTTTTTCATCCATAAATTGCTTAAATGTATCGGAACAAGGTAATCTATATATATAAAAGAGTAGCGTTACTGACCGTCTGGCTGTCCATGTAAACCATGTGCGTTTTCAAGATAATTGGATGAAATTTGGCACATTCGCTCAAAGACAAAGCCTATTGAAAATGGTTAAAATCGGCCCATTATTTCACATAGCCCCCATACAACAGAACCCCCGAAAAGGGCCCTTAAGCTCATAACTGTATTAGGTTAGGTGATGTTGTGTCAGTTGTGCCAACGATTGAATGCAATTGTATTAAATATACATGTATATCTATAAAAGGCAAAATTAAGTTTTATTCAAGACTATATGACCTTGCCAAATTTCATGAAGATCGGACCTTATTAGACCCTAGCTCCCATACAAATTCCCCTTCAGAAAATGTTTTGAAAGTCCAAAATTAACTTATAAACATTAATATAGCGATAAAATTCGGTATAACTAATCTTTATATAAACATAAATTCATGTCACAAGAAACGGTCCTTATATGGACCCGAACATTTTTATCAATTTTTTTCTATCTATATTTGACGCTAGCCTACATAAAATCAGTCTGTAGTCAATATCCATTAAATGTCTTATGGTATTAAATTAAGATAAAATTGTACGTAAATACTTAGTTGTAAGAAGTACTAAGTATATGTAATTTGTATAGTTCTATATCTCTGTACTATTTTGGCCATTTTCGCCTGGTAGGTAGTAGGTAGTAAGTGCATTCGTATAAATACGTGTAAGCAGTATAATTGGTACCTTCAAATATTATTGTCTGAAAAAGGGATTATTTACCTGTGTAAATTACTGTTTAGGTCTGAAAAAGGGATTTATTACCTATGTAAATGGATCGCGAATAAGTCTTTCTCGGCATCCATCAGTCTTAAATTAGTATTTGAATAAGAAGGGTGTGTCGCGGAAAATATTTTGAAATGCCTAGAACACGCAACCAAAGTGCCGAACAACGCCGCGTACTGCATAGAAATAGGATGAGGCAATTACGGCTTGTGGAAGAATCAGAAGATAATACGTTACATTCTGTTGCAAATCGGTCAATTCAGAGAAGATCACAGCCCCTTTATAATTCTATTTGGCGTATGAATCGCCGCCAAGATGTATTATTTCGACAAACAGAACAGATGCGAAACAATGCAAGTCGGCAATTAAGACGTACAGATCCATCTTACAGTCAGAGGGAACTAAATCGTGACGGTGCTAGACGTCAAAATAGACGAGCAGATCCATCTTACAGCCAGATGGAACTTAATCGTGATGACATTGGTCGTCAAAATAGACGAGCAGATCCATTTTACAGCCAAATGGAACTTAATCGTGATGACATTAGTCGTCAAAATAGACGAGCAGATCCATCTTACAGCCAGAGGGAACTAAATCGTGATAATTTCAGTCGCCAAAATAGACGCCAAGATCCATCGTATAGTCAACGGGAACTAATTCGCGATGAAGATAGTCGTCAAATTAGACGAGCTGATTTATTATACCGAGAAGCAGAACAGTACCGCGATACTTTGGAACATCAAATGAGACGATCTAACCCATCATATAGGATTCAAGAACAAGTCCGTAACACTGCAGAACATCAAATTAGACGAAGAAATCAGGAATATCGGTCAGAAGAACAAATTCGTAACACAACAGAGCACCAAAATAGACGCAGTCATAGGGAATATAGGATCGAAGAACAAGTTCGTAATACAACAGAGCATCAAATTAGACGGAGTAATCAAGAATATAGATTACAGGAACAAGTTCGCAACACAGAGGAGCATCGCAACAGAAGAAGTGACAATATTTACAGTGAGTTAGAAAGATCAAGGAATACATTACGGCGCTCTTTGCGTAGACGAAATATGCAATACAGAGTGATGGAACAGCAACAAAACACCATACAACGACACATACTACGAACAATGGAGCGCCAGAATCAACATGACATACAACGTAATGTTCAGGAAAGAGTTACTCGCCACAGGCAAGATAATATTAACAGAGAAATGGAAAATAGCCGGCAAGCTGAACGAAATCGTCAACTGAGAGAGGAACTACCTGTAGAAGAACTAGAGGAAAGCAGACGAATAGTAGCAGAAAATGGAAATCGCATACGATTTCTCAGGTACAACGATACAATTAAACAAGGGCCAACAGTAATATGTACCTGCTGCGGAGGACTATGGTTTCCACACCAGGTAGAGGAATTATCTCGGAATAGTATTCATGTAAGTACCGATTTTATTACTGATGTTTTTTGTCTTTCCGAAAGGTTTCCGACTGAAAACAATAAATATAATTTTTGTAAAACTTGTTGTAGGTCAATAAAAAATAAGCGAAGGCCAAATATTCGTTTGTCAAATGGACTTGATTATCCGGAGATACCTGAGTGTCTCAAGGACTTAACGTCCATCGAAGAACGGCTTGTGACAGCCAGACTTCCTTTTATGATAATCATAGCTCTTGGATTTGAAAGACAAAGCGCAATAAGAGGAGCTGTTGTAAATGTTCCTATTTCCGTCAATGAAGTAGTTACAGCTCTACCTAGGACATTCGATCAAGCTGAAGTAATTCAGCTTCATTTAAGACGTCGACTTGAATACCAGCACGACTACATGACAGAAACTATTAGACCTGCTAGAGTTATTGAGGCTGCCAGATATTTGGTTACGTCCGATTTATACATTAAACATGGCATAACTATCGACAGTAATTGGTTCGAAAGTTTTGCTTCTCAAAATGTTGTTCCCTTTGTAGCTGATCGTCAAGATGAAAATATCATTAATAATATTTTCGAGAATCAAAATGATTATAATTCTAACGCTGAGAGCAATATTGATGAGTTTGATGTAGAAAATCTTAATCCAGGTGGACAAGAAACATTACTTGATAATGTTCCGGTGGAAAATGTACCATTACAAAGATTAGTAATGGCACCTGGCGAAGGCCAGCGTCCTCTTGATATGGTAATAGATGAAGATTCGGAGGAACTATCATTCGTTACCATATATGGAGGGAGAAAAAGGACATGCTCAGAAAGTTATAGCAAAATAGTTCGCTCAGAACTACGAAGGTATGATAGACGTGCTTGCAGAATCGATAAATTACTCTACAGCTATAAGAAGTTGGAGCTGTTGTCAATAAAGAGTGCGATGTCAATTGCTTTACGCAAACATGTCCGCTCGAATAATGTTACAGCGGGTAATGCCCTTAACGAAACTTTCATGAACAGCCTCATACAACATGACGATGGATATCGTATTTTAAAGGGTGTTCGATCTTCTCCAGCTCACTGGGAAGCTGAGAAGAAAAAAGCTGTAGCAATGATTAGACAATTTGGCCTACCTACATTTTTTATTACTTTATCAGCTGCTGAAACGAAATGGACAGAGCTTTTGGTTATTTTGTCAAAAACTGTGGACAATATAGACATAACTGAAGATGAAGCTGTTAATCTTAGTTTCACGGAAAAGGCGAGACTGATACGCACTGACTCTATTACTTGTGCCCGTTATTTTGACTTTAGATTCCGCCAACTTTTTGGTCTCTTCAAAATGAAAAATGGCATTTTTGATAACCACTATGTGCAGCAATACTATTGGCGAGTTGAATTTCAACATAGAGGCTCCCCTCATATTCATGGCATGTACTGGCTTAAAGATTCTCCAAAAATTGATCTTAATGATCATTCATCTTTCCCGACCGTTATTCAGTTTATTGATAAATATATAAGCACAAATGGTAGCGATCCATGTGTTGCCCAATATATAGATTATCAGAAACATAATCATAATCGGTCTTGTACAAGGGAATACAGAAGTGAAAGAATTTGCCGATATGGTATTCCATATCCCCCCATGCCTCAAACCGAAATTTTAACTCCTCTTCCAGACAACTTTGAAAATGCATCTCTGTATAAGGAGGGATATATAAAAATTCAAAATTTTTTAAATCAAAATTTAAGCGTTGAAGAAGTTTCAAATCTTAATGATTTTGAATGTTTTTTAAGCAATGAACATATTAATATGTCATATGAAGCTTACAAATTATCCCTCCGTTCATCTTTGAAAAAACCTAAAATTTTCTTACGTAGAAAGTTTGAGGATAAAATGCTAAACGCATATAATCCTACGATTTTACAATTGCATAGAGCAAATATGGATATTCAATTCATTTTGGACGCTTATGCATGTTGCAGTTACATCGTTAATTATATTAATAAGTCTAATCGCGGAGTTTCCAGAATTCTACGTGAAGCCATTGATGAAATTAGAGGCGGAAATTTCACAATTAAGCAAAAATTGCAACATATTGGCCATAAATTTATTTCTGGTACTGAAATTTCGGCTCAAGAAGCAACATATTGTTGTCTAGGTATGCGCCTTTCTGAAAGTAGTAATGCTGACATATATATTAATACCGTTAGACCTGAAGAAAGAGTATTGATTCTAAGATCTCGTGATGAACTTCAAAATTTACCTTCCGACTCTACAGATATCTACGTCACAAGTCTTTTAGACCATTACGTACAACGACCTGATGAGTTGGATTCTCTGTGCTTGGCAGATTTTGCAGCCTATTATAAGTTTTCTAGAACTGCAAGAAATGTACAAAATGAAGAAACTTATAACGAGCACGATGAACAAGATGAAAATGAGTTTTCTGGACGATTTCTTAGACTTAAGGATAATAGCGGATTCATCAAAAAGAAGACAAAGCCAAATGTTATTAGATATCGACGATACAATGTTAACACTCATCGGAGCGATTACTTCAGGGAATTAGTAATGTTGTATCATCCCTGGCGAAATGAGGAAGTCGATATATTGCAAAATGACAATGAAGGCTTTTGCAATACTAATAAGGATGCCATTGAATCCAATCGGAGACGATACGACGTTTTTGAGGAAAGAGAACTTGAAAATGTTCTTGAAAATCTAAGACTTGAATCTGAATCCGACAATAATGGTCATGGGGAAGATGAAAATCCATCTATTGATAATGAGTTTAGAGTTCTTGGGGTTCCTGAAATAAATCCGGATATTAATGTATTTAATATACCAGAAAACGAACCAACCGAAGAATCTCCGGAAGGTTGTATACGTTTAATTAAGCTACCACCTCTTATACCAGAAAATGATTTATTAACAATGGTCAGATCATTAAATAATAAGCAAAAAATTTATTTGACACATTTGTTACATAATATAAAATTGGGCCAACCATTTTATGAATTTGTAGGAGGTGGTGCTGGAGTCGGTAAAAGTAGATTAATATCTGCATTATACCAGTCAGTGAATTACAGACAAAATTATATACCTGGTAATGACCCGAATACGATAAAAGTCTTGCTTTGCGCACCAACAGGAAAGGCAGCATTTGGCATAGGTGGAGCTACACTTCACTCAATGTTTTCACTGCCCATAAATCAATCATCAGCTGACCTTAGACCACTAACTAACGATACAGCCAACACATTGTATTCGAAATTCTTGAACTTAAAGCTCCTAATCATAGATGAAATATCTATGGTAGGATCAAAAATGTTTAGGTATCTCGACACAAGGCTAAAACAGGTGTTTAAATCGACTGCACCGTTTGGAGGGATTTCTGTTTTAGTATTTGGAGATTTAAGGCAACTTCCCCCCGTTGGTGATAGTTGGATATTTTCCGCACCAACAAATGATCCGTATAGTGTAATATACGGATCTTCACTGTGGGACATGTTTAAATATTTTGAGCTCAACGAAATAATGCGCCAAAGAGAAGATCAAGCATTTGCAAGAGCTCTTAATAATATGGCATGCGGAAAAATGTCTGAAGTAGATATATCTCTTATGAAATCACGAGAAGTCCTTGAATCGCATGTTCCAGATGAAGCAATTCATTTATTATGTACAAATATTGAAGTTGATAACTGGAACACGATTAAACTTAATAGAATAGCTACAGAAGAGGTAACATCATATGCCATTGATCAAGTGAAATCAGTGGGACTATCCCGAGAAAATAGGGATCGCATTTTGGAAAATGTCAAATGCTTTAAAACATCCGAAACTCAAGGACTTCGGTATGATTTGAAGCTAAAGACAACTGCAAAGTACATGATTACGGTTAATATCAACACTAGCGATGGCTTAGTTAATGGAGCAACTGGCCAACTTATGCAAATTGGCTTTGATAATAATCGAAAACCATTAACATTGTGGATTAAATTTCCTGATGCTTCCATTGGCGTTTTAGCTCGATCACAAAGGCGACATCCAAGCGAAGCTCTGTGGACCCCTATTGAATTGTTAGTACGGTCTTTCCAATATAAACGGAATGAAAATGTCAACATTGACCGTAAGCAGTTTCCAGTTGTACCAGCTGAAGGTATAACTATTCACAAGAGCCAAGGGGCAACATACTCAAGTGTAGCTGTTCATCTTAAATCAGGAATGAAACGCTCTGCTTTATATGTTGCGTGCAGTCGAGCAACAAGTGCTGCGGGACTCTACTTAATTGGAAAGTTCCCAACACATTTACCAAACCTGACTAATAATGACTTAGTGCAAGTGGAGATGAACAACCTTCAAAATAGCAAAAAATTAATAACAAATTTTGATTTTTTGATAGATAGAAATTCAATAAATGTGACTTATCATAATGTTCAAAGCTTACATGCACATATTGAAGATGTTCGTTGTGATAACTTAATGTTGGCTTCAGATATCCTTTGTTTTGTCGAGACATGGACTTTAAGCCATGAAAATTATGATATTCCTGGTTTTAGCATTTTACCTAGAATGCGATTAGATTCAAATGAAAATGCAAATAGACGATGCAAACGTGGAATTATCGTTTACGTGAAAAATGAACTTGCAAATTCTATACAATATTGCGATAGTAAACAAGTTCACATTGCAAATAAAACATTTGAATTTATTATATTTAAGTACCAGGATATCAACATTACCGTTTTGTATCGAAATAAAAACTACCCTGCTAGATCTGTAATCAGAGAGTTAAACGAGTTGTTTTCCCGAAGTAACTATTTTAACGAAAAATCCATTATAATTGGTGATTTTAATATTTGCCGAAGAAATAGTTGCAGCGAGTTAGAAAGAAAACTCAGGGATAAAGGTCTTAACTCTCTCAATTCGACGAGCACTACAAAAAGTGCAACACAAATTGATTGGTGTTTTTCAAATATAGACGAAAGCACAATTAGTGCTAAAACATATGAAACTATACATAGTTACCATGACGCAATATGTGTTAGCATATTAAGGTAGATTATAAATAATATTTCCATATGTTTAAAAATTCTGAAAATAAATGTATATAAATATTTACTTATGTAGATTTATAAATAAATAAATAAATACAAATTTATTAAAATATATAAAAATTTATTTCTTAATTATGGAATTATTTTAAATATTTGATCAATGTCAATTATTTTAAAGTAAGTAATAATTAATATTTACGTCCATAATAATTATATATGTATGTATTTCGTAAAACGATATTTACGATCATATTATAATATGGATGTGATATACAAAAGCAATTGATTTAATAGAAATTATAAACATATTTCGAATATATTTATGTATTTCAAATTGATTTTACTTTTCTTTCTAATAACTTAGAAACGACAAAGTTCAACAATTGCTTATTTATTTACAGACATCGAATATGTGAAATACCATATTTACTCTCCCTTGGAATAAGCCGTGGCGTGGCGGGAGGGCTTAAGTACTTCTTAATTTTTGAAATAATAAATTAAAAACTTAGAAGGAAACTAATTATTCCGCGAAATAAACTGTGGTGTAGGGTATTATATGGTCGGGCTTGACCGACTATAACTTTCTTACTTGTTTTTTTTTTGTTTTCTTTATATAAAATATTAAAATAAAAAAATTCTACAATGTTCAAATCGCCTGTAAAGGAAAAAGTGTTAAACAGAATTACTACCAACAAACAGATATAAAAACCTCAAGGAAAAAAGAACCCATGATTTTTGTAGCAGCCAAAGAACTAAAAAAAGTGATAAAATATACAAAACAAGTATAAATTGACACTTAAGTTTTTTTTATAAGTTTTGCTTTAATATTTTGCTGTTTTGTTTATTTTATGGAAAAATATTAAACGTGACCAGGATTTATGATGTTTTATTACTGTTTGTTTATTTTATTAAAGGTTTCAATAAAGAAATTAAATTATTTACTTTAAATCATAATTTTATAGAGCCAAAAGTTATCTGTAATCTATTTATGTCTTGTTTTAGTTCATTTATTTTATTTCTAATTTGAGGCAAAAAAAGTAAAAGGATCTGTAATCGCTATTTTTCATCTATTTATTAAGGAGAATTCTAGAAATATATTTGTTTGCAAAAACATGAAACTTAAGAGCAAAATAAGCAAAAATTTGTGTCACCTACATCTCTCAATAATTATTTTCTTTTTAAGTAAATTTCGATAATGAAATAAGATAAAATTTTCTATAGAATTGATCAACTTGTCTATAGAAAATATCTTCCTATCGAAAGTTTCCTACTGATGTGTTCATCTTTCTCATAGAAAAGATTATCTTAGTCTAATCAACATTCCATGAAAACATTATCAGTATTACATAAAATGTTCTATAGAAAAGATTAGCAGATTCTGATAAAATTTTATATAGAAAAGATCATCAGAATCTATTTTTCTACTAAAAAAATCAGCATATTCTATAGAAAAGATCAGCAGTTTCTAATAAACATTTCTTCTATAGAAAAGACCATCAGACTCTGATCAACTTTGCTATCGGAAATATCAGCATCTGATCAACTTTTCTATAGAAATGATCATCCGACTCTGAACAACTTTTCTACAGAAAATATCATCAGACTCTGAACAACTTTCCTATAGAAAAGATCATCAGACTCTGAACAACTTTCCTATAGAAAAGATCATCAGACTCTGATCAACTTTTCTATAGAAAAGATCATCAGACTCTGATCAACTTTTCTATAGAAAAGATCATCAGACTCTGATCAACCTTTCTATAGAAAAGATCATCAGACTCTGATCAAATTTTCTATAGAAAAGATCATGAGACTCTGATCAACTTTTCTATAGAAAAGATCATCAGACTCTGATTAACTTTTCTACAGAAAATATCATCAGACTCCGATCAACTTTTCTACAGAAAAGATCATCAGACTCTGAACAACTTTCCTATAGAAAAGATCATCAGACTCTGATCAACTTTTCTATAGAAAAGATCATCAGAATCTGATCAACTTTTCTATAGAAAAGATCATCAGACTCTGATCAACTTTTCTATAGAAAAGATCATCAGTTTCTGGTCTCTGATCAACTTTTCTATAGAAAAGATCATCAGACTCTGATCAACTTTTCTATAGAAAAGATCATCAGACTCTGATCAACTTTTCTATAGAAAAGATCATCAGACTCTGATCAACTTTTCTATAGAAAAGATCATCAGACTCTGATCAACTTTTCTATAGAAAAGATCATCAGACTTTGATCAACTTTTCTGTAGTAATGATCATCTGATCAAATTTTCTATAGAAAATATCACCAGACTCTGATCAACTTTTCTATAGAAAATATCATCTAGAATCTTAACAACATTTCCATAGAAAAGATGGTCAGACTCTGATCAACTTTTCAATAGAAAAGATAGACTTTTATGAGCATTTCTTTAGAAATGGCCATCGAATTCTGATGAACATGAAATTTGAAAGTTTTGCCAAATGCACGCATTTGCATTTGTTGACTTGGCCGGCCCTCAATATAAATTTTTTAACTGAAACTAATTTTTATTGTTATTTATCATGCATTAACCCAAAAAAAATAGAAACAGCGTAAAGTTTTTTTCGTAACAAAAAAATCCTTTTCTCTATACACATTAAACAATAAAAAATCAACATTGTATTAAATCGTGTAAAGTCAATGTTAAATACCATTATTTGGTCATTATTATTTTGATTTTTTTTTTTCGGATACTATTTTTTATAATTTTGAAAACAATTGACTGTTTAAACGAGACCTAAAACAAGCGCAAATAATGCAACATAATAACAACAGTATTAACCGCAACATAAGCAAATAAAACAATAAAAAACCAACAACAACAAAATAACAAAATTAAAAAAAAACTATATTGTTGAAAATGATATCGATAGTAGAGTCATTGAGTTTGCGTGCGGAGAAAGTTCACGTTTTCCTTGTTAAAAAAAAAAAAAATGAAAAAACAACCTGTTAATCTAAATATCTCACTCATAGACCAAAACACAAAAAACACTAAAATACAATGGAGTTTCAAACAAAAACCACCAAAAAAATATTGACTTTATTTCGAAAATTATAACAAAAAGCAAGCAAAAAAAGGCCATTACAGAAAAAAATGGTATTTAAAGTAAACATAATGTAACAGCAATAATGTGACAACAATACTATTAAACAACAGTAAAACAACTCATACTCTATTTAAAAAAACCATTTAAAATCTAAAAAGACAAAAAATTCGAGCAAAAAATCCACTCAAGACCTTTAAAACGTTTAATAGTCAATAGCTGCTATGGCAGTTGTGGCGGCTTCGGTGCTGCTGATCTCTTATTAAAATATCATAACGGTATGATCATGGTGAAACAAAGGAGAAGCACCATAGTCATCAACCTCATCATCATAGTCGGTATATTCGGTATCGTGTGTAATCATCATCTGCATCATAACTGCCATTTGTACCTGTCAATTGTAAATAGTTTCACTTTAATTCTTTTGTTGTTTTTTCTCTATTTTGGGCTTTTAGTTGTTGCAACCTAAAAACGAGAGCAATTGGTTAAAATAATGTTTGTTTTGATTTAAAGTTAGATCGAATTGTATTAAAGCTACATTGATTTAGAGTAGGCATATGAAATACATATATGGAAAGTTTTACTCAAAAATAATCTTAAGTTCTACTTTAGTTCAGCTCTAGTTCGGTTTAAATTCAGCTCCAGTTCGGTTCTAGATCGGTTTTAGCTTATTTTAGTTCTGATTCAGTTAGTTCTAATTCAATTCCAGATCAGTTCTTGCTCACTACTAGCTCAATTCTTGTTTAGTTCATGTTAAGCACAAGTTCAGTTCAGGGTAACAATTTCAGTTATAATGTATTTCTAATTTTATACTTGTTCATTTCTAGTTCAGTTCTAGTTTAGTTCTAGTTCAGTTCTAGTTCAGTTCTAGTTCAGTTCTAGTTCAGTTCTAGTTCAGTTCTAGTTCATTCTAGTTCAGTTCTAGTTCAGTTCTAGTTCAGTTCTAGTTCAGTTCTAGTTCAGTTCTAGTTCAGTTCTAGTTCAGTTCTAGTTCAGTTCTAGTTCAGTTCTAGTTCAGTTCTAG